CGTACGCTGACTAATTTTCGCTACCTATTTTCAAACCTCAACGGCACGTCTATGTTGTTTTCTGACTCTACAATAATTTTTCACCATTCGTTTAAAGATTGTTATGAAAAGTACTTGGCTGTCTGAACAAGTATTCGACTGGTCTAAAATCTTTTTCTGCCATACTTTTATGCCCAAAAAAGATATAAAAATTAAATTTCGGCGCTTAAAAACTTCAGCCTTGATTTTTTTTTCGAAAGCTAGAGTCTTCCAAAACCCCCATTTTTTTGTTTGATAGCCACGCCCAGCTCTGAGTGTGTTACATGACATTTTACTTTGTTTTTAAGTTTTTTGTGCTTTAAAGTTTTTCGAAAATCTTTTTGATGTACTGGCTGCCTCTTCAAAATTTTATTTGTATGCTTGAACTCTTTGAAGGGGACCAAAAGTGATGCCAGATTTGGGATCAACTTGTTAGCTTCAATAATTGATGCTATCAGCTGTCAGATGTATTTGATGCTTTTGGCTCTCTTAGTTTTTTAAATCGCGTCAGCTCTACGGGCCAAAGGAGAGACGTTAGATTTGATATCACTTTGGCGTTTATTAGGACACGAGACATTTTGTAATTAGGGACGAGAACACATATTTTTTCCTTTTAATGACAAAACAATCCTCATCTTACATCTTTTGAAAGTTAACCCTGTGTCCACCCTGTTTGTTTTTAATTTTGGATTGATATGTTTTTGGTTTAATTTGCTTTTTTTTATATTGGCAATAAAAGTTCTAAGAAAAAATTTTGATTCTTAAAGTTTTTGATAGGCCAATTTTGTGAATTATGTTGCGCTGGGGGGGATCTAAGACTTTTTCGAAGAGGAGGGATTTCCAAACGTTTTACAAAAATTTTGTAGATTTTTTAATAGGAAGAGCAAATTGATTTTTCGAGAACTCCCAGTGCACACTATAAAGAGCCTATTTTGAAGAAAAAAATTTGTTCGCAACAGACAAAAAATGGCGTTCTTCTTTGACCAAAAAATGGCGTTCTTCAAAATTAACGTATATTGGCGCCAAACTTTACAATTGGTCGGCCGAAAATCGATTTCATAAAATAAAACTAACAAGGGGAGACTCTTGTTTGTGAGGGGGTCGAATCCCTGAGGAAGGAAAGGCGTCCGCCCAATGCCCCACTCACACTCACTACCCTAAGTTCGCCCCTGATATTACGGGTATTTTGACGATAGCTCTTCTGAACACTTTTTTTTAAACTTTTGGTAGGGTTGAGATTTGATTTGACATCTGCAGTCTTGTTCACATTCTTCACCCGGCTGTCCTTGCTGCTGGTTGGCACAGGAAGTTGGAAAGCTCGTATTTCCAATTTGGGTAAAATACTGTTTCCCTATAAAATTTGCGCCGCTCCCTCCGTAAGAAAAAAATTTCTGATATTCAGTATTCCGTTAATTACATCGTTCACAAGTACTTTTTCCCATTTTACTTAAAGTAATCCCGAACATTGACGAGCTCTTTTTGTAAACTCGTCCACTGGTTTAATATTGTGAAAAAAGTATGAAATTTTCAGCTTATGAGTAAATCTTTCTTCAGAATTGAGACTGGGGTCGCTGAGTCGATCAAGATTTTGGTTTCGAAGGGGTTGACTCCGAACACTTTTTTATCTTTATTTATTTTACTCAATCATTATATTCTACAACCAGTATTCGAAGTTTTCGATTTTTTTGGTAATTTGCATCATATAGTAAACTCATCGGGGGGGGGGGGGTGTGGAAGGTTGCAATCCATGGATGACCATTAGGTATATATCATGATTGTCTTGTCGCCATGTTTTATTTGACAAGCAATGATTTCCAGATCGGCTATATCCCCGCTACCCATATCACTGACGTTGATTGCTGCTGCAAGAAATAGACCAGGGTCTGGAGTTTGCCAACTGCTATAAGCTTGGTCCAGCAAATGTTGAAGCGAACGCTATAGTTATGTATTTTCAACAGCAAAACTATCCTCAGAGTAGTCATCGTCAATTTCCGGATGGTACCAACCAACGTTTTGAAGGTTAGCAAATTCGTCAGAGACCCAACCTAGAAAATCGTCACAATCCCACGACACTGGCCGTTGACGATCTTCAAAAAATGGTATCCTTTTTTTTCCAAATCAACATCATCAGTTGGTCCAAATTTACAGCGGCGGCGTTGTCATCACTATCATCAATGCCAATCGCAATTGACCCACGATGTTTTTGTGATTGTTGGGAAGAGTCTGCTGGCCATTATCGAGGATGTAGCGTTTGTCGTCAAAAGCTGATAACGATGTTTTCGCCGAAGTCACAGTTTGCAGATTGGGTGAATCGGATGCGATTCCACTGTTTTCAGTTTTCAATAACGAGCCAGAGTTCAAGGTGTCCCGATATCGCTGATGAATGAACTTTTTTTGTGCAGCTTTTGATCCACCTTTGGCCGATAGTTTTCTGCAGTCTCTAAATATATATATTTATTTGATTACTAATCCCTTTAATGATGATCACTAAAGTAAAGTGAAAAACATGGAATCTGCGTTGTTTGTGTTTTTTTTGTGGCTGCTGCATCAAGTTAACTTGAAATCCAGATGCAACGTGACCTGAAGTTCTTGTGTGACGTTAAAAATCTTTCATCACTAAAAAGTTTCCAAAAAATCAAAAATCGGTTATCACAAAAAATATTTCTGAGACTTCGGCGAAAACATCGTTAAGCGTCGATGATGACCAGCAGAGGCTTCCTTACGGTCACAAAAACATCTTGGGTCAAACTGCGATTGGCATTGATGATAGTGATGACAACGCCGCCGCTGTGAATTCGGACCGCAACCAGTGTCGTTGGAGATTGTGATGTTTTTCTAGATTGGGTGCTTGAAGAATTCGCTAACACTCAAAACGTTGATTGGGACCATCCGGAAATTGATGATGACTACTCTGCAAATAGTTTTGCTGTTTAAAAAACATAACCCTATCGTTCGCTGCAACAACTGATGGATATGGTTAATAGCAGTTGGCAAACTCGAGACCCCGATGTAATTCGTGCAGCAGCAAACAACGATAGTGATATAGACGGCGGTATATCGCCGATCTGGAGGCCAATACTTCCGACGAGGACGAGTCGTCATTCTTCAACAATCCGTTTTTGGATATTGAAGCAGTTGAAAAACATGCAGTAGAAAAATCGGCGAATAGATTAAAACACAGAAAAGCCCCACATCAAATTTTTTATAGTAAATAAGTTTCAGTGGTTCGGTAAGATAATTGTATGTACATAAAATTTCACTGACCCCTATTCCGTATTTTGGGTGTATTTAGGTGCCAGATTTTGTTTAGTCTTAGAACCAAGTTAATCGGGTATTTAATTTAAACGAAAGTGTTCCTAGCATACTTCTGTATGTATTTGTACGTAAATTGAATTTGAATAAAAGTTTAAAGAAGAATTGAGCAAACAGGAATTAGAGCAGTGAAACATACCAGTTGTTTTTGGAACGAAGATTTAGCAAGTCCATTGCCGCACCAAACATGTAAACACAGCGTTCAGTGGAATACTTAATAAAATATCCAAACTTTACATGAAAACTATTAGTTATGAGAAACTTGACAATTATGATCTATACCTAACGGTCATCCATGGATGACAACCCCCCATCATAGTGTACTGTATGCATACTACTCAGGTTACCACCATTCGTTCCTTTGTTCACTGGTTTGGTTTTGATCTGCAAAACCACCGCTGGTGGCGAAATACCCGATATTTTTCCTGTTTCCTTCCACATCTGGGAGTACTTGTCCCCTCTTTTGGGGGACGTTCCGATTCTCATTTCCTTATCTGAGGTGTTGGTCTCCCTACACAGCTCGTTTTGTGCAACTCCAATCTTCAAACTATAATTATGAAAATGCCTGGAGTTATGTTTTTCGCTTGAATTCCTAGGTTGCATCTAGCCGCCATTCCGCTCAAATCAGAAATCTCAGTATCTGATAGTTTGCATCTCAGATAAGGGTCTTATGGTTGTGAAGCGCCCGTTGGCCCTCATGTTTTAAACATAAATACAATTTCGATGTTTGTTTCCTTTCCCCTTCGTCCCTTGGTTTTTCTTACACATTTGCCGCCAGACGTCCAATGTCGGCTGCCGACAACGTATCCGCAATATAAAATTCCGTTGGTAGTAAGCCGTGTTTAGCTTCCCCATAGGAGTTGCAGTTCAGTATGGTGCACTGGCCAGAATGCGACTATCCCCGGGTTTTTTCCCGCCTCATCCACTGGTGACTGTGCCATAACAAGTGTTTTGCAAACAAAAAACTATAGAAGAGTTAATTACCGACTTTACTTCAAGAATCTCAATTCAAAACTGTGATATAGAGGTCAACACTACGATTCTCCTATGATAGCACTTGCACTCCGATGATTGACAGGCATGTACGGTTCGCTCTTACCAGACTTAGTCTAAGTGACTAATCATAATATTTTAAATTCAAATGAATTTCTTTTGAATTTACAACTCTTGCTGAATTTCTGTTTTTCTCATGTTTGGTTTAAAAAACTCCGATTTTCTAGATATTGGGATTCCGTTGCTAAGAGTTAGATAGAGTAGTGACTTCAATTTCTTATATGAGTCGCCTGTTTGCATCCCATTGATTTTACCTTCCGTTTTTTTCCGTCGGAGTTTTTCGTAGTTCCCCTATAGTCTAGCCAAGTTGTTATTTTTATACCTTTCTGGGAGAAACTATCAGATTATTTGACCACCGGGTAGAATAATCTAATCGTTGGAAGTATAACATCCTCAATATCTCTGAATCCTTAGCGATGGTTGTAAGTTTAATTTTTTTTCGAAACATTTTCCTAATTTTGTGGTTTTTTTCGATTTACTACCGCTGCCGCAGAGTTCATTCAGTCACAGTTTGAATTTCATTTGTTTTTATCTTGAAAATTTGAAGAGTTTTTCTCAGGAGCATAAGTGTTTCAGAAACAATTTTACGTTTCGAAAATCGTAACTTACTGTTTAAGATCAAACTCGATCGGAGCTCAAATCAGTACGAAATGCAGGTGTGTGAAATAGAGTCGAGTACGGAGGCTAAACAGCTGTTCCAGATTCCCGATACTCGAAATTTTCTGCTCTATCAGCAGGAGGGAGAAAAAGGAGAAAAGCACATCATTTCTCTGTGGACCGCACAATTCCGCTGCTCCTACAAAGCAACGAGAAACAAAGATGTGAAGTTGCATGAGTTGATGAGCAACACAAAAGAAGCTGGGCCCGTGAACAAAGTGGTTTTTCAGTCGTTTATGGGCGGTCAGTGTTCAAACGTTTCCATTTTCAGACTCTTAGACCAAAATTTTAATCATATTTTTTGCATAAATTAAAAACATAAAACCATGCAAGACCATACAATTGCATACACACAGAGAAGTGTATGCAATCTCAAGGATATTTTTTTCCATAAAAAAAAGTCTTATAACTAGTTTTTTTCCCATAAAAAGCGAAATATAAATTTTTGAAAACGACCACTGAAAATAGGGAAGAACTTGTTCTTTGGGTTTGTATTTATGTTTATCATCTTTTTTTCCTCGCAAAATTAGTTGAGCGAGTAACACGAGCAAGTAAAATCTGTACTAAAAAATTTGTTATTTAGTCTATGAAATGAAGAAAAACTTACTTACGAAAAAAACTAGTTGCTGAAGATTTATGTAATGCTTCCCTGATTCTTGAAAATATTAAAAACTCAATTTGAAATCCTAGTGAAAAGAACGGAGGCTAAACGAGTTTAAGAAGGAGGCTAAACAGCTGTTCCAGATTCTTATCAATGCGTTCTTATAGGTACTCTTCGTTACACCGCACCCAAAAAACTGCCTGAATTTGAAAAAAGTTATGAGGTTTTTAAAAAATTTTGTTTCAATTTAACTGTGGTCGGAACGCTTTGTTGTACTTGCAACCTTCCGGTTACTGTTGTTTGAGTTTTTCTTTATATTTTTGTGTTTTATTCAAAAACCATGGCTGGTAACTGTCTCATTCATAGATTTTCCATCTAAGTTGAAGCATAAATTCACAAAGATCTATGAAAAAAGTTTATTAGATGGCTCAAAACGTTTTCAGATGGTTCGAAAGAAAAGGGTCAAAAATGTCAAACCATTTTTAGATGGCTCAAAAGAAAAGGGTTCAAAATCATGGCCTCCTATTTGCACAATGTCATTTTTGAACTATATAGAAATAAATAAGCATTTATACAGCTGATTATTTGCTTCAAACAAAACACTCATAGTGAGTTTTAGCTCTTTTGTGTGAAAAATTGAGTCTTGAAATAAAATTCACAAATAATTAAAATTTTGATGAGAAAAAAGTATATCGGAAAAGTTTGATGTGCGTTTTTTATATTGGTGTTTTTATGCCAATATAGGCATTTTGGGACAATTGACGCGCGATATAAGTCGTGCTATTAACGCGTAGGAGGAGATCTAATCCTTGTTAAAAATCGTTCCAAATTGGATTGGGGTATGCTCTTTGATCTATAGGATTCTTTCCTAAAGCAAAATTTATCATTTTTTCTTTACATAGCCTGTGGGGTCTTTTCTTTCAGTAAAAATGTTTTTCTATTTTAAATTACTGCATTAACAATGAAACGCAGTCACAACATTCAGGGCTCTGCTTTGATTCGAGCAGTTTTGTTGACAATTAATTTTGTTTCGTTAAAAACTTACGACGAAGACATTGAATTTGTTAAAGTGATTTGGCAGTACGAAGTATTGATTAATTGTCGACGAGCTCCGCGACAGGCTTAAAAAAAGACTTGTCGCGGATACCCAAAACCCGGTTTTCTTGAGATTTTTACGAATCAATATCTAAAATACCGTCAAATTTTTTCAAATATTTCCAATAAACTGCGGAGTTTGTGGAGTCATCAAACTGCCGAGTCTGTGGAATCCATAAACAAACAAAAAATTTTCAACCAAAACGGACCTCATTTTTCTACTTGGAAAGTTTTTTTGGGTCAATACATGAAGGCAAAATCTCGCCCGTAGGATGAATGAAGTTTTCCAAAAACAACATCAGTCCGGTTGAACAAACAGCACATGCTTTGGTCAAACAGGGCAAAAGTAGTTTCGGTTTGTTCAAGTATGGGGATCGATGAATGAATGTTGTGTCAAATATGATCGCATGGATGCGTTTAATGAACAAAGGAACTACTTTTAAATGCAGAAAGAAAACAAGGATAGACGGTTACTGTGCAAGACGGTTACCGACCATAGTCTTTAAAAATCTACAAAAAATTGTTTTCTTTTTCAAATAAGTGTAACTTTTTTCTGCGTGTTGTGATAAAAAAAATCTGAATTAACACTATAATTTAGTCACAGTTGACAGTCATAGTAATATAGGCCAACAAGAAAACCGTTTTTGAAGAAAAATGACTAGAAAAACAAAAAAAGTTTAAAAAAAAACTTTTTTCGCAGAATTTTTTTGAAGTTTTTGGTTCCAAAAGCGGCATTAAAAATCTCCAAAAACTTAACTTACTTGAGTAAAAATAAACAAAAGCATAATTAGGCTATTGTAAACAGCCTAAATTAAGCATAAATAAGCGTGCTTGCTCGTTTTACTTGCTCAAATTCAAATGTAGACCAAACAAGTTTCAAACCGGTTTTCTCGACACTGGGAAAACTTTTTCAATTTTTTTTTAAAGTTGTTTGAATTACAATTTAAAATGTTTTAGTTTAAAAAATCTGTGCTTGAGGAAAACAACAGTTTTTGTTAGAGATTTAGTCGGGTAGAGCACAGATGTGTATTTGGTGTTTCCGAGAAATAAAATTGCAAATTTATTTTTTTTTATTTAAAAAAATTTTTTTTTTGATAGAAATCGAAAAATTCTACCGTAAGATTGAAACTCTTCTCTATATCTGCTGCCCTTTAAAACATTCGACTAATTTTTGGTTGCTTAACTTTACCACCAGTCCGGATCTTTGTTTTTGAGAGTGACTAAGCCAGCCGGACTTCAAACCAACCGACAGTTATGTTACAAAGTTATAAAATAGTCAAAAGTTGCTTCATTTGAACGAAACATGCAAGACTTTGATAGCTGCAACTGACCAGATTACTTGAACTGTTTCAGATTCTTCTCGTCAAAGGCGGACGTTGGCGTTTGTCGTGTACAAGAACGGATCTCATGTCTCACTAATAGGCTAGTAGTGACTCGGGGTAAAATGCAAAGATGAAACAGTAAAAATGCGTGAAATAAACTGTGTGCTTTCTTGAAACAACCTGAATTTTTATGGCAGTGAAAATATAATCCAATTTAATCCAAAATTCCAATATCCAATATAATCCAAAAACTCAAGTAGTAGGCGGACTTAAATCAGTTTTGTCAATTTATCTATATGTTAGTAATAACTGTACAGACCAGGACGGTTTTTGGATCTACTTAACAATCTCCACCCCTTTGAAGAAAGGGGGAGATTGTTAAGTAGATCAAAATGGTCGATTTTTTGACCATCCAGAATGCAGCAAAATTAGAATTCTCAACAGAAACTTAGTGTTGATTTACAGCTTTTTTAAAAAGAGGTGGAGATTCTTAAATAGGTACCATAAGGGGGATTGTTAGGTAGATCCTGGATCTCCTTTTTCTTGTACTACCTAGAGTTTAATCTTTTTAAAGTTTTCTCTGGTCAAAACGATCCAAAAAGCCATAAGTAAGGATTTTTATCTCAATTGAGATACGCAATGCAGATAAAGCCCGCTTCTTAGATTTTAGGGAGTTCTCGGCAGATCAATTTACCCCGCCCCTATGTAAAAATTATAAACCCACTTCTGATAAAGATAAAGATATATATGAAACGTCTTTTGATGCAACGAACAACGAACGTTCCATAGAAGACTAACTATCTATTTCAGAGTATTCTTCGGAGAATGACGTCACGGAATTTCTGATTTATCGGTCGCTAGAGTTGTTTGACAAGAGAGACCAGGTGAAACTGAGTGGAGAGGTGGGAATGCTGCCCCACTGGAACTGTCTCTACTTCTTGGTCGAACAGAATGAAAAGCAGCCTGTCAAAAACTACATTATCCTCGTCAAGGTTGGTTTAGACTTTCTTTTTTATATGACCCAAAGTTGAGAAAAACAGACAAGCGCTTCTTTTAAATATTAGAGTGTTTTTTCTTCTCTACCAAAATTACAGTGATTTGACCTCCTCGCCGCCCAAATTGTCCTCTTTTTGCCTATTATTTTACAATATACATTTTGATTGACCGGCCTCAAAACTTTTCTATGACATCTGACATCTTCGGCGCAAATATAAATTAAGTTTCCGGGGATGTGATAATCTAAAAAACTCCGTTAGGTGTACAACAATGGTTGTTCAGAACAGTTAATTCATACAAGCAAAGCGGGTCTGATAGTTTGTTTGGGTAGCCTTGGGTAATCTTTTTGTTTGACCTGAAAAAAAAAGACTTTTTTTTGTTTAAAAAATTGATCCCTCAAGAAAGTTTTGGACCGGCTACTGAATCAAATGACAGCGTCATATTAAGTTTTGAATGTAGCAAAAGCATCATTTATTGGCTGTTTAATATAAAAAACAGGTTATTTGTTGTGTCAAATGTACATGAAGATGATTTGCGCTCTGAGTTTATATCGGCTGTTCCTGTCAGTTCATGAGGTGCTATTTCGTTGACAGCACCAAACTGTCGTTTTGAGGAGCAAACAAAAAAACATTCAATATTTTAATTGAATTGATATTCGCAAGAAACCACAGAGAGCATTGCTCGAATAGCTGTTTAAACAGTCCCATGGAATTCTCGACCCTTGATTCGACCCTTTTCGACTCATGATTCTACCCTGTTCGACTCTATCGACCCTGTTCGACTCATGATTCGACCCTGTTCGACTCATGATTCTACCCTGTTCCACTCATAATTCGACCCTGTTCGACTCTATCGACCCTGTTCGACTCATGATTCGACCCTGTTCGACTCATGATTCGACCCTGTTCGACTCATGCTTCGACCCTGTTCGACTCATGATTCTACCCTGTTCGACTCTATCGACCCTGTTCGACTCTATCGACCCTGTTCGACCCCTGATTCGACTTTGTTCGACTATAGTTTTTGTTTAACCGTCTTAATCTGCGTCGAAATCGGACTCCTTTTGACAGTTTCAGTCGAATCATGGGTCGAGCACCTCAGCCCGGGTCAGACCTTCAAAAGTTATTATTTTCAAAATGTACTCCATCGAAGCTCACCACAGGCTTGACGCAAGTATATCAAGCTTGGAAATCATACAAGATAGCCATCGCTGAAAAAATTTGATTGGATAAATCTTCTCAAGCTAAAATTTTTTATCTGGATGCGTAGGATGCAGGTGCGGCCATAATTTTGCATCCATATGAAATGATGAACCAGATTCGACCTGGTTCATGGCCTGCAAAACCAATTAAAACAGCTGATAAAGAAACAATAAAAGGATGCAGGGTTGCTAATTTCGGGGGATTTTAGCTTTTTGTGAATTAGTTTCTGATCAAGAAAATAGCCACTCACTAAACTCTAAAGACGCAAAAGAAAGTAAACTTACGATAAAACTCAATAGTACGCCAGTACAGTTGTGTTAAGGTAAAGCGATGATGCCACAATAAGGTCTGCGAGAACACTGAAAACACTCAACGCTGCCTTTGAAGGTCAAGGAAATTGTGGGTTTGTGCCATCCAAGCCAGAAAAGGAGGAGTTGAAGATAAACCAAAAGCCACAAGTGTCGAACCGGAAAAAACATCTGGCGAATTGGTCTCGCATTTAGACAAAAGTCACTCCCTCATCATCAACGAAGGACAAAAAAAGGAATACAAAATCAAAGGATGCGAAAATGAGGGAAAGAAAGGAAACAGAAATGCCGATGGGGCGACAGACAGAAAACGACCATGCAAAACTGACAAAAAACTGACAAAATCACTGTTTTTAAAATTTACTAGGCGGATAGAAAAGAGACAAAGACCAAACTGGAAAACTCACCGTTGAATACCAAAAGATGGTGTAAAGCTCAACGATGATGATGATGATGATGATGATGATGAAAAAGGGATAAATGCATGCGGTTCGGAATGTGAGATCGGCAAAGACAGGACGGAAGCAAATTTCAATCAAGAAAAGGGCCGAAAAACAAGAATCGTATCAAGAATAGCCACGACCGAGCGAGCCAAGACGAGCGGACTAGATCGGGAAGCAGCACCAGTAAGAGAAAAGCGGTCGGGAATCTCGGGTAGGTAAGGTTCGACTGCTTAGCGAAAACAGGAAAGGTCAGAACCGAAACTGAAAGTGCTGGAAAAATGAAGTGGAGTGGGCTTGCAAAATGGAAGTTTGAGCCTGAGCCTCAAAAATGTTACGACCAGTGAGATGACTCGGGTCCAACTTAAAACTCAAACTTTTTGTTTCCGATTTTGTTCAAAGACTAGTACGTTGAACCCTGCCAACCACTTGATGCTTAAAATAAGGAAAAGATTTAAAATTTCAGTTGACATTAAAAATTATGTCTGGTCATAGGAAACGACTTGCATACATGAAGTTCATTTGAATTCTTAGATTAGATGTGCTGTTGTCAATTCATGAAGTGTTTTGTGTTGTTGTTGACACCATATTAATCTGCCAATCATTTGGCTATTGTTCGTCTTGACCTCTGAAACGCACTGTTTGTCGGATTGTTGCATCAAACAGTTGGGTTCAAGTTACGCGTGTTAAAACAGTTTTGGTTTTTTTTACAATCAAGATTTGGATAAGTATACTAATAAAATGTCGAGGTTTGGCAGCAAAAAAAAAGAAGGATAAAATTTAAATGTTTTCAAATCATTTTCATCGATTAGTCTGTTTCATTGAAAAATTTGCTATAAAATTTGATAAAATGCGCTTTTTTCATTGCTTCAATTTTAGCCGTGTATCATTTCAGACAGCGACAGATAAGAGCTCCAAAGATGAAACAACGTATCAGTATGTGGGAGTATTGCCGGGTGCTGATCGGAAGCCCTTGAGGACCATACTTGACCTTGAAGAGTGTGGTGCCGTGTTCATGGACATATATGAACGTGTGGTCCACTACAAAAGTACGGAGGAAAAACAGTCATGATGAATCTGCAAATTTTCAACAGTATTGCATTGATAAAGGGTTATTTGAAACAGATTTAGTGAAAAAAAATATATATTTTTTCTGAAGTTTTCATGTGTATGGTTTTCAGTTTTTCATTTAGCTTTAAAATTTCTTTAGTGACGTTGAAAAGATGTACTGGTATATCGAATCTAGTATATTATTGAAATGGTGTGGTGCACTGAGTTTTCAAAGCGCTTGTTGAAACTTCATCAACCTTTATTTTAGGTCAACATAAATGATTTGATCGATCTCTTAAAAACTACAATCCCATATCTGTAAAACTAATTAACATAAGTGGAAACAATGTGTCCAGCACAGGTTACGATTGATATATGCTATGACACTTCGGCGGGTCATAGCATATATCAATCGTAACATGTGCTGGACACACTGTTTTCCACTTATGTTAATAACTGTATTTTAAGTCACTCATCCTAAGTTTTCATACAGTGCTGATACAAATTGTC